ACTTGTTTTATTTTGAAAATAGTGATTATGAATAGTGTTTTCAAACTCAAGTTTGCATTTTTGTATTTTTGTTACCCTACCAACAGTATATACTGTGTTTTTTATTAGCTTTCAGATTTATTTAGCATTATAATTCCTGTTAGAATTTAGTCTTGGTTGTTTTAAATCTATTATACCTGTTTCTTGTACGTAATATACTATTTTATTGGTTTCTATATTTCTATAGGTTAGAAACTAGGAGGCCATGAAACTACTGTATTTTATTCAGAATTTAAAATCTTCTGTAAGTACAATCAAAGTCAGGATAAAAAACCAAAAAAGTGGGATCAGTTGTATATATGGGCATCTTTTTGTATATGCAGCCATTCTAATTCTTTCATTAAGAGAAAAAGAAAATGTGAGACTTGTCTATGGCTCATTTTTCAACATCATGAGCAATTTCTCTAGTAGGCAAAGGCCAGGCCATCCATTCTCCATCTCTCTCTTCCTCATCAACACTTATATTCATCACTTTTTCCATTTTTTTCTGGGCCTCTCTCCCAGAATCATATATCATTCCAAGCTCAAATCCTGCTTCTAAATTTTAGATGGTTCACAGCTAAACTTAAGCAGCTATGTCGTTCCAAAGAGGAAGCCTACAGAAAAAGTGACAGAATGCTATACAACCAGGCCAGAAACATATTAACAAGAGAGATCAGAGCAGCAAAAAGAAGCTACTCTGAAAGGTTAAAGAATCAATTCTCAACAAATGAACCAGCAAACATGTGAAAAAACTCTTCAAAACATCACTGACTTCAGCAAACCTCCTTCCCAGGCAGAAGGAAATCAACAATTAGCAGATGACCTGAATGTGTTTTACTGTAGGTTTGAAAATAAACTACAGCCACCTATCTCTACAACCCACATCTCAAACACACCAACAACAGCCAAGCCTCCTACAACTGGCCCCAATCCATTGGGCTCACAACCTCTGGTGATCACAGAAAAAAAAGTGCAAGAAGACAGACAGAAGCCAGGAAAAGCACCAGGGCCAGACAAGATAACTCCTTCTTGCTTAAAAGTCTGTGCTGACCAATTGGCCCCCATCTTCACCCGAATCTCCATTAGATCACTAGAGATGTGCTATGTTCCTTCCTGCTTCAAATGTTCTACCATCATCCCAGTGCCAAAGTAGCCCTCCATCAAGGAACTGAATGACTACAGACCAGTTGATCTAACATCTGTAGTTATGAAAATCTTTGAAAGGCTTGTGATGTCCCACCTGAAAACCACCATGGATCTGCTGTTAGATCCCATGCAGTTTGCATACTGAGCAAATAGATAGACAGATGATGCTGTTAACATGGCTCTGCATTACATCTTACAACAGCTTGAATCTTCAAATACCTATGCAAGGGTCCTCCAAATACCTATGCAAGAGTCCTCAGTTCAGCATTCAATACCATCATTCCAGACACTTTTCTAAGTAAATTAAACCAAATAGAGGTACCTGAACACACTTGTAAGTGGATCATAAGCTTCCAACAGACAGGAAGCAGCAGGTGAAGCTAGGCGGAATCACATCCGATACCTGTACAATCAGCATAGGGAGCCCCCAAGGCTGTGTGCTATCTCCACTTCTCTTCTCCCTATATACCAATGATTGCATCTCAAATGATCCATCTATTAAAATACTGAAGTTTGCTGATGACACAACAGTGATTAGTCTCATTCGAGACAATGATGAAACTGCATACAGACAGGAGGTTATACAACTTGCCTCGTGCTGTAACTGGAACAATCTGGAACTGAACACACTCAAAACCATAGAAATGGTGGTAGACTTCAGAAGAAACCCTCCCATACTAGCACCTCTTACAATACTAGAAAAAACAGTATCAACAGTAGAGACCTTCAAATTTCTAGGTTCTACTATATCACATAACCTAAAATGGACACCTAACATCAAAAATGTCATCAAAAAAGCACAACAAAGAATGTTCTTTCTGTGCCAACTGAGAAAGCTCAAACTGCCCAAGGAGTGCTGATACAGTTCTACGGGGAAATTATTGAGTCTATCATCTGCACCTCTATAACTGTCTGGTTTGGTTCTGCAACCCAACAGGACAGACACAGAGTTCAGAGGATAATTAGGACTGCAGAAAAAACAATTACTACCCACCTGCCTTCAATTGAGGACCTGTATACTGCATGAGTCAAAAAGGGGGCTGTGAAAATATTTACAGACCCCTCACATCCTGGACATAAATTGTTTCAACTCCTTCCCTCCAAACAACGCTATAGAGCACTGCACACCAGAACAACTAGATACAAGAACAGTTTTTTTTCCCGAAAGCCATCACTCTGCTAAACAAAAAATTCCCTCAATACTGTTCAACTATTTACAAAGTGTACAATACTATTACTGTTAATCTTCTCATCACTCCTATCACCCATCCCCTCCCACTTGTGATTGTAGGACTGTAACTTTGTTGCTTGTATCCTTACGATTTATATTGACTGTTTCCTAGTATGATTTGATTGTTGATTGTACCCTATGATTATCATTAAGTGCTGTACGTTTTGATTCTTGATTCTTAATGAATGTACCTTTTCTTTATGTATACTGAGAGTATTTACACCAAGACAAATTCCTTGTGAGTCCAATCACACTTGGCCAATAAAGTATTCTATTCTATTCTATTCTATTCTATTCTGTTCTGTTCTAGTCTATCTCTATCCCCATCTTAGTCTATTTGCAAACTAAAAATGCAGTTGTCTAAATCTTGTAAATTTGGAATCAAAACTACAGGCGGTAGTTTTATGCCTCTCTTTAGCTTCTGCATTTCAGAATCTTTTCTTTGGGGGGAAGGCCACAGGGACGAGGAATCCTGGGATGTTTCTGGAGTATCTTAATGTTCCAATGATGTCAAAATGGCAGCCCACGGGCTGGATGCATCATGTGCGAACTACACCCACCCATTCCGGTTCCACAAAGGCAAAAAAGTTATGATATGTCACATGACATCATGCAATTGAGTTTGACATCTGTGTCTTAACCTATCTGGAATATAATGTTTCCTTTTCTGATTATAGATTTTACTTAATCTTAGCAAGTTTGATTTGAAATGTACTTTTTCTCTTTTAACTTAAAAAAATATGTTAGATTCTCATATGGGCATGGCAAAAATGATGTAGTATGGGCTAGAATAGGAGCAGAAAATTCAGAAACAATTATTTTTTTGTCAATAGATGATCCTTGCTTCTCTTGTTGGACAATGAAGAAAGAGTACTTGAATCACAACTGATTGATCAAAATAGGTTTTTCTGCCTAGGTGGAAGACTATTATGGCAAATACTTGGCGTGCATAAATCTAGAGGGGGAAGGGACTACTATGCAAAACAAAGTGATTTGGAAAGTGCGAAATAAGAATTATTATGAGATGTTTTCTTGTTGGAATGTTTATGAAAGGCCACGTTCCTGGTAGAGGGCCCATACTGGTGCCATGAGAAAATCATTGTCTGGAAAGGCACTTAGGTTAGTAGGAGAACTGGTGCAGTGTGGTATAATGTAGCTATAGCTGGATCAAAAAGAATTTGTTAAGCGTATCCATTAGTATACCTATACATCACAAAATATCTGCACATAATCTAATATTAAAATATTTTGGCTGTTTTTATATGCCCTTTAGGTAATTTACTCTTGTAAATTATGCTGGTTGTGAAAAATAATAGCAGTTTTTGTACAAAGCTCAACATAGCATAGAATCAATCAGTTATATTTTTGCAGTCCTTCGAAGCTGATAGAATTATATTAGCCAACAAAAGGCATAATTTCATTCACAGTTTGAAAGAGGCCTTAATATCCAGAAAGATAAAAAAGCTTCTGAAAAATGTAAGATAAATGTAAGGGAGCAATCAGTCTCTAAAAATGTCAGGGAACACTGCCACATATTTAAAGAAGAATGAACCATTATCAGAAAAGCTTTCATGGTGAGGCCAGTGATGACTGGGAAATATAAGAAAATACTTACAAATTGCTGATACTTTATATGATTAAAATATAGGGGGTATCTCAAAAGTAAATTTCCTAACCAAAAATATTCAACCATGTTCATAAAGGGAAAATTTAATAATGATGTGTCAATCAAACAATGCCAATCAATCAATTCAATTCAAAGATATATAGAGAGAAATTGTTGAGATTTTAAAATTTGACACAAGGTGCTTCTATTACTTATACAACCAATCCTTGGCAGCAGAAAAAAAAAGTTAATCCATCATCTGATTCCATCAGATTGTTGAGGATGGTTTGTTTCACAGACTCCAACTGAGGTTGTAAATATTGAAACCAACCTTTTCTAAGTAAAACTCACCATTTAATGTTTATCCAAAGCTATTCTTTTAACAAATCTAATTTCAAGTTTCATGTTTTTCAACTTGGAGATTTAACATTTAAAAAATGTCATTGCTACAGAGATATTTGCACATAAGAAGCTGCCTTCTTTTCAGTCAACCATCTACGTCAGTATTGTTGACATTGAGAGATGGTGCTTTTCTCCATTTCAGACTGCGTATCCTATGTAATCTGGCAATGCCAAAGATTAAGCTTGAAACCTTCTGTAAGTAAAAAATAATAATATAAAAATGTTTAAGATTCAGGTATACATAGAGGGGGGAAATCTGCAGTTGCTCTTCAAACTGTATGGAGGCTCTCTTACTCTCTTTTTGGAATGCTTAGTCCCCTCCAATTATGTTACCTTCCCCAAGTCACAGCTCATATAACCACATGGACATCATAGCACATGAGAAGATGGCAGGCTAAAGACAGCTCCATAGAGAAGCAGAATCAATGTTTGCAGTATTAACAAGGTACTGTAGATGATGAGTAGAAAGTTTTCTATGTTTCTCTCTGGAGAAAAGAGAGAGAGAGATACGAGATGGCCCAAGCTGTTGTTCCTTGTGGTTCCTTTTTCTCATGAAGAGAACATAAAAAGTGATCTCTGGTGAGGCAAGGAGAATCAGGAGATGGGAGAATTTGTCATGTTTGCGCCAACTGCAGACAGGAGTATTTTAAAGGACACTAACTTTACTGCTAACTACTTCAGGAAATTGCCTATAAACTGCTTCAAAGAAATTAGACACCTGCAAAGTGACAAGGTTGGAAGTAACGGGTGAGTGTCTTCAATATTCAATATACTCAAGAATATGAAGATTTGTTTTTATAACTCAAGAATTTAAAATAAACAGCAAAAAGCAAAACAAGATTTTGTCTACAGAAAATTTTGAAGGATCATAAAAGTTTGGAGTCTTGGACTATAAATATTAAAATTTTGAAATTACTTTTAAAGAATAAATGTACCTTTATGGGGAAGATTTTTTTCAAAAAAAATTGTAGACACAATAAAACATATAACTTAAAATGGCATTAAGAGATATGTTAGACGAACTGTTCCGAGATCTGTGTCAAAAATTTGATTCAATAATGTCAGCTATGTTGTGTCATTTTGAGAACAGTCTGATCCCAAAGATGTTACAACACAAGATATGCAGCAAAATATGAACAAAACTCTATGAGAATATGCCACCATATATAAAGAAAAATTGAATGAGGTTTTAAAATTTAAGAAGGAAATAAAAATTAAAATCCCAGAAAACAATTGAAATAATTTCTTTCTGTTAGATTCAAAAAAAGGGACTGTCTAAAGTGCTAAAGAAATTGTAGCAAAAATCAATAACCATCTGAATAAGAAAGAGAAAGATTGTTCTGTTTGGGAAAAAAATTCTGTATAGAAAAAATGACTACAAAATCAGTTTATTTGATCAAGGATAAATGGGATATATTATTGTTCTGGATTACTTTTTGTGAATTTATTAATATCCTAATTGGAAAAATGTAGTACACTAGATTTGTTTGCATTTAATATGGTGTAAAATCATTTTGCCTATAGCTACTATATGTAATCCTAACTTTATAGTACTTAAACTATAGTATAAATACTTTGCATTGAACTGATTGGGTTTTTTTTTAATTCAAAACAAGGGAGTTTGGAGAACTTGTTTTGTAAAGGAGAAACTGTTTTTCTTCTTTGCGTTAAATTTTGGTCTTTTGTTTTATATTAAGATAGTGGGATTACTTGTCAAATATGGATGTAGTTGTAGTTCAGAGTGGAAATACAGAATATGTATTTAAATGGGGTAAGTTACTATTTGGGGTGTGGGATTTTTGGAATTGTTGGTATTTGGAATAGGAAAAATGTTAGGTATTGGAGCTTGTTTTTATAAAAAGAAAATGATGAAAATTATGTTATCTATTCAGTCAAGTCCAACTCTTAGCAATTCTATTGGCCAGCTGTCTTCACATTTTCTGATTTGAGTCTTTCTATGCTCTGGTTGATGTCAGTTTTGATGGTGTTCAGCAATGGTGGGATTCAATTTTTTTTACTACCGGTTCTGTGGGCATGGCTTGGTGTACGTGGCAGGGGAAGGAGACTGTAAAATCTCCGGTCATAGGTGGTATTTGCCGGTTCTCCGAAGTACTCAAAATTTCCGCTACCAGTTCTCCAGAACTGGTCAGAACCTGCTGAATACCACCTCTGGTGTTCAGCCACATTGTTCTTTGATTGGCCTGGTTTCCTTAAAGGAGAAATGGTTTCTTTTAAATTTTGGTTTTCTTTCACTTGGTTTCTTTTAGGGGAAGACCATTTTATTTGCTGAAAAACAAAATGTTGTAGCAAAGATCTTTATAATATTTATCACTCAATTCTCACTTTTAAAAAATAACACATTTCTAAACATTTCAAAGTTATCCAGCCAAGGATATTGCAAAAGTGGAATATTAACAGAGAAAAACTGTGAGCTACTTCAGCTCTATAAAACAGTATTCTGAGTGAGTTCAGATGAATTCATCTATATCGTGGCAAATTTGACATTAATCTATAAGCAGCCCAGAACAAGATAGCTAACATACCCACCTCTGTAAAAAAATTACCTTCAATGCAAAATGCCTGCCTAAAGAAGAGAGAAGGGTGTCTGCTGAAGATCTCAAAGCCCAGAGAGGCTTTTTGTATGTAAAAAAAATTAGACATTTCAAATAGTCTAGTCATAACTGCCGTTCTTTGCTTCTTATGTGATTCTATTTTCATAAAATTCTGGGTGGCTCATTGATTAATTAATTTTTAATTAAAAAATCTTAGTCCAGCATAATTCATTAGACAATTCAATCTAATATGTCAATTAATAATCTAACAACTTGTTTTTTTTAAAAAAAGTAAAAACCCCTAAAAATAATAGCAGCCCAATGACATGGTAGCACATAAAGCCTAAACAGAAAACAGAAAAAGCACCATCTTTGCTATTTTTTTAGAAGCTAACAAGCACCACAGGTTTTGTAGAGTTTATAAATAAAATTTTAATAATATTTTTACAAGAGACAAGGGTTATTGAATCCTTACAATTTAGAAGTGTCTCATCGCATTCATTAGTGACCCATCCATATCTGAAAGGAGGATAATCTTTAGAGTGTTTCTATATCCTACCACCTGATTCCTTGCACATCCAAATAATATCTGTCTTCAGATGTGACCAACTAGTAAAAGCAATCTCTGGCCTAATTAATTAAATTAAATTCCTTCTGGTAAATATTTATATTCTACCACAAAACTAATAGCCCAATTAATGATTCTTGGGACTATTTTGAAACCTGGCTTAGTGGGCTAATTGTGCAACATCCTGATTTTACTTGGCTATTGGCTGGTGATTTTAATATCAGAATTGGAAGAAATGATAAGGCTTTGTTACAACCGTTTAATGCCTCATGTTCTTACCTTTATGGAGAACCTTCACAGAAGCCAAAAGAGGCTGGCATTAAAATGAGGAGGGTGGAGACTGTATTTACTGACAGTAAAATCTGATGTAAAGCCATTAAAAGGCTATATGCCTGGTAACTCTGAAGAACAGTTCATCTTCTGGGGCTCTCAATAAGTATCTGACCTGAATTATATGTTAATATTTGAAAGCAATCAAGCAAGGATTTTGAAGTGATATTTGGGGTGACCACCTCCTAATTTTGAGCCTCATTACCCTGGCTGATATCAAGTAGAATAGACAGCAGGATCCCCCTAAGCCCTTGTCTGCTGTTATATCAGGTCAAAATGGACAAGGATTCTGCTGCATCCCATTTCTTTAATGTCCCCCAAACCGTTCTCATGGGCAGTCTCTATTGACTTCAGGTAACTATAAAGAAACAACATTTGTCTTTCACAGTCTTACTAGGGTCACCCAAAAGTATATCTCACCTACTAGCATCCAACCTATCTTTGCATCAACCACTTGGAAAATCTAAAACATGATTTGATATAGAACCTGCTTTAGTTAAAAGCCAGGAATGCAGGCATATAAGAGGGCATGTTTAGCTAATAATCTCTATTCCTATGACATCTTTTATAAGAATAAAAGGAAATATAAGAATCTATTCAAGTAAAGGGGAAAACAATAAAATGCCCAGGAATGCTGAAGAGAGATTTAGCAGAATGTCACAACAAAAATCATTTTGGCTCTTAAAATCAAAACCTAAAGTTAATACAAAGCCAGGAAAGTATATTTTTACTTATACAGGATTATATCTCAACATTTTTGATGTAGAGAACTCTATTCTACAGTGTGGTCATCAGTAACCCATATGGAAATATAAAAAGTATTAAAGCTTCTAGTTCAGATTTAATTCCTTCATATTTCTTAAAATTAAATCCACTATGATAGGTTTCAGTGTTAACCCCATTTTCTACCGCTATAAATTTCTTCATAGTAGTTCCCCAAACCTGGCTTACTTTCGTCACTCTTCCAATATATAAGAAAAGAAACAAAACTTTTGTTCCAGCCAACTGTCATCCAATTAGTGTTTTCTGTATAATTAGTACATTTTATGATAGATTTCTATGCCACAAATTATAGCATTGGCTGTTTTCTGATAACATTATGATGCCAGAACAGGAAGGATTTGGAGATGGACATTCAATAATACTGTAAATCAGTGCCTAATATTGAATCATTTGGCAGAAAAATACTATAAATTTCCAAATGTAGCTCATTCTGCTGCCTTTATTAACTTAAAGGCAGCTTTTGATTCTATTCCTTGGAGGAAACTAGTCAACTAATCAATTAATCCTCATCTTCTTAATTTGATTATTCAGCTACACTGAAGTATCAGTTTACCTACAGTTTACACAGTAAACTGTAAATAACCCAGGTTAAAGACATTAATTTTGATGATCTGACAGAGCCTATCCCCACTCCTGAAGGAGTTAAGCACACATGTATATTATCCCCTTATGTTTTAACATTTATATGAACACAAAATTATCTTGCAGATTTCCATCCTAAACCCTTCACCCTTCTTCCAATCCGTTTTGTATGTATCACTCTATTCTGCGCTACACTTAAAACAGTGATACTGCCTAAATAGCCTCTTCTTCCTCATCTGACTCATTATATAATCTAACATAGAACAACAGAGTTGGAAGGGACCTTGGAGGTCATCTAGTCCAACCCCCTGCTCAAGCAGGAGAATCTATTCCAAATATTAGCCTCTATCTGGGATTGAACTCACAGCCTAAAATTAGTAAAGCCTCCAAACACTTGAAAAACAAGGCGGTTCAACATCAAGCATATTATAATATCCCATGGAGGATATAGCTAAACTACACTAGGTAATTAAACTTAATAAGTCTGGGTCGCTCAACAATCAAATAAATTACAGTAAAATAAAGAAAAGATGGAAAGTGCTGTGAAGTGTGGGGGCCTCGTGCTTCTTTGCTAAAGGCCCAGCTCTTCTAAACTACAGCAGAATGGAACCCATCTGGATTTTGAAGGAGCCTCTTTGCACAGTTCAGAACACAAGTTTCCTTTTCTTTAACCCACAATTTTGTTAAAAAATATAATTTTTAAAATACAAAATAAAGAAAAAAGAAACATTTATTAGCAGAGTCATGTTTCCTTTCCTTTTTAGATTTGATAATTAAGTAGGCTGGCAATAGCTCTACTACGACACCCAGAATTTCTTGAGAAATTTGTATAGCAGGATTGCCTTTGTTTCTTTGCCAGTAAACTTGGAGTTAAGAGAATATATAGGCATTCAGAATGATGCAAAGGTTAATTCTGCATAGGTTAAGTTCCT